ACATCCTTTTTATGATAGCAAAATTTTAATATATAAAATATTTAAAAAAATTATATTTTTATATGTTGTAAAGTTTGTCTCAGTGGGCTCAAATTTGCATTAGTTATACAAAACGATTAATTTTGATTGGTTGATATCATATGATCATCATATAATTTTTGTAACCAACTTTGATTTCTAAAATTTAAATATTCATATCTCACCAAATATTAAACCAATTTTAATAATTTTACTATTATTAGAATCAAAAAAACCTGCTCTATAATTTTTACTTAATAGCTTAAAATAATTGGCTTAATAAAATTTTATAAAATTTTAAAAAGAAAAAATAAATTCAATGAATTTAATATATAATTTACAATTTGTTCTCCCTATCCTTAAGATGAATAATATCTAGAATAGTGAAATTTATGATTTAGAAACCAACAGTGAACCTGAAATCAATGATAATAACAATAATAATAACAGTAGAGTCTTCTTCTAAATCATTATCATCTGTGTTAAAAAACAAAAAAACTACTGATCTACTAAAAAAAAGAAAAAAATGCAGACTCATAGCTAAAGTATGGCATTATTTTAAAATAGAAGGAAATTTCGCAGTATGCCAAGTTGAAATAACTCAAAATGAAAAAACAAAAAAGTGTAAGCAAAAATATGACTATACTAATTCAAATTTAATAACATCAATGAAAAACTAATGATGATATAGTAAATATATATAAACAGCTTATCGAGCGATGCATAAAAATATTGTTAAGAAAGTTGTTGCAATTCGAAGTTCTTATATTTTTGGTGCCAAAGTTTTCAACTAAAAATTCTTAGAACCAATTTACAAAGGTAATTAGTAAAAAAAACAAATAAAAACAGAAAAAGAAAAAACAAATACTACTTTCCTGGAATTTAGGCTTCTTTAATGAAAATGTCATCGTCAGAATTTCTTGCAGCGTAGTAATCATCATAAGCTGCTCTAAAAAAAACATTTAACAGAAACTAAACTGCTAGCAAGACATGCAATCTGCTAACCTGAACAAGTACTAAAGACTTAATTACACTAAATATAAAAATCATAGAGCAGATTTCACTATTTAAAAAAATTTAGTTCATAAAACTAAAATTATAGATTTTATTGATTGCTAATCTTGTATATGATTGGTCAAAATAACCTTCAGCAAAATTTTAGGGTTAGTACGAGCCAGAATTATATTAATGCTAGCTGAGTTTTTATCTTAAAAAAAACTCTGACCGGCATCAACATAATTTTGGTCTGCACTAACCTTAATATTTTGCTAAAGATTATTTTAATCCAGGTCAAAATAGAATTTCTCTTAAAAAAAATATATGTATCTAATTTGCCTAACAAGTATCTAAAATTTTTACTTCTATAAAAATATCCATATCTCTTAATACTATTATCACAAAAAAAAAAATAAAAAAATAGATATTAATAATATTTAGATACTTACTCAAATTCATTAATAGTATAATTAGGGTGTAGCGACTTAGTGAAGTTGATAAGTTGTCGCACTCCCAAGCAGCAGAACAAGAGTTCGAATCCCACTGGCGATGAAATTCAAATTTTACAGAATGTGTTACGGCAGACTATGTATAATCTGATGAATCATCAGATCTGTAGCTTTAGTCATATCAGCTTGTACTGGAAGAACATAGAACTATAGTGTGATGCAAGAGTTATATGAAACACAAGTAAAGAGTTTGTGTAAATTCAAGAGCTGGGATATATAGAATCCTGCTTGGCAAGTCTCAAGTAGAGAGGTAGCACAGATCTTCAACAACGCTATGTAAAAGATTATCACCAAAGATCTGAAAACTGGATGAGACCAAGGTAATTGGCAAGGCACCATACCAACCAGGCCATCAATGTATTCTGAGAAAGAGGTCCACCCTTCTGGGCTATTTGGATTGGGAGTTTGGGGACTGGTAAAATGATAGATGGTCTGTAAAGTAGGTGCTAAGGTTTGAGTGAACTCTACAAGGGCAAGAGTAGGTAATGGTAGCGGTTTCGGCTTGCAAGTACTTGTTCTTGAACTTGGCGTAAGTTATCGAAAATCTAGGTTAGCCAGATTGTGAGTACAAAAAGCTCTAGCAATGATGCCTTGAAGATAAATTAGTTCTAAGGCTACGGTACGCATCCAGAACTCTTGACTAACAAATGTAACAGAGTGTTCTAGTGACACAAGAGAGCAGTGTATATTACAGAGGGTTTAAATAGATAATCACCTAGTTGGGTTATAGGTATAGCAGCTAGTGTAGAACCTATGGTGTATAGTTATCTATACGTAGACTACTTAAATAGATGCTTAAAAGAACACGTGTGGCTAGTTGTACTCTCTAATATAATTGGGGTTCCATTGTGAGCTCTCCGCTTATTATATTTGAATAAAAACCCTATACCAAAGAGGCTAGTTAATTAAGAAAAAAAAAATTAATAATATAACTAACGTTCAATAAACTTAAATTAGATTTTCATTATTATTACAAAATATCTTTATCGAATTATAATTAGCAAATAATATTTAATATGAAGTATTTATAAAGTAAAAAGCAAAATATAAAAAGAATAAAAAGTAGTAAAAATAGATTGTTTAATTTTGTATTATAAATAATCAATGAATATAGTATTAGACTCTCAAGTGTAAAACTAAATAAAGTTGTGCTAGCATTTATTATTAAAACATATAGATATTAACAAAATATTCATTTTGTTTTTCTGCACGTTTTATTATATATACTAATTCAATAATAGATTTTACAGAAACAAAATCAAATATGTCTAAAAGTTCTAATAGTAAACAATTATATTTGTATAAATGACAGTTGTTCTTAAAGCAAAAGTCATACTATTATACAAAGGCAAGGTCAAATTGTGTCAGATAATTTTCAATAGTAATAGTGACCAGCATATGAACCTAAAATGATATATATAATTTATATATAAAAAGCTCTATTAGCATTTTATTTGTAATGAATTAACAATAAAATAATTTACCTTGCAATAACAATTTCCATTATCAGTATTGTAATCGCTGCTTTCTTTAGGATTCATATTAATTGATACATCACTAAACATCAACTTATTGTAAAATTTACTGCTTACTCTAATATAATCTTCATTTTTAACCATATTTGTATAATTATACCATTTAATACTAGTGTTGCCTATTACAATATCCTCAGTTAAATCTTCACACAAGGCTATCAGTTCTTAGATCAAATGACAGTGCTATACATCTCTTTTAAAAAAGTGCTGGTTATGATTTATAAAGAAGAAACTTATTATCTTAACTATCGGTTTATTTTTGATGCTATAAAAGAATTGTTGAGCAATGAAGATATATTTAAACATTGTATTTTTAAATTCACTCCATTATATTATAAAGGAAAAAGAATTTATCATAAACAATATAACGGGAAGTGGTAGAAAAGGGCAAAAAAGACGATCCCAGATGAAGCAAATATTTTATCAATAATCATTTACTCTGATGCAACAATATATGACCACTATAGCAAATCAAGTGAACATCCTATTTATTTAATATTAGAAAATATACCTGGCTGGTGATATAATAAACCTGATGCTAAAGCTCTTTTAGGCTACCTTCCACTTTTAAAACTAAAAACAATATTTCAAAAAAAATCAAAAAGTAATCAGTTGAAGAAGAGAATAATCAGTTAAATGCAAATTCATCATGTAAATTTATTTAGCTATTAAGTTTATAATTACTTTTTTCTTTTTTAGATTTTTGCTTTTGATTTATATAATAATGTCTTGCAGCTATCTAAAAAATTTTTTATTTGTTATAAAATAGTAAGTTTTACATTATAATTTAATTAATTAATTTATAAAGAGTATTATATAATATAGAAAATTATAGATTACTAAATTTATATAAATAAATTAAGTTTAATAAAAATTTAAAAATATAATAACTATAAAAATTGCATTTTATCTAAACTAATAATTAGATATAATGAGTAGTAAAATATTAATTATTGATAAAAAATATTTTTATTTAAATTAATTTATATATTTTATAAAAAATCAATAAAAACTAATACAAGCACAAAATATTTTATAAATCTAGATAAGAGATTAACTAAAAAGCTAAAAAAAAAGTTATAGTATAATCTAAGAAAATTGCTATTTGCACTATAATTTTTGCTATTTACACCATTAATTTAACTGAAACCAACTCTAACTCTGGTTAAACTAATAGTGCAAATAGCAAAAATTATGATGCAAATAGCAGTATCTATAATCTAATATATATACTGTATATAATAAAGTATGTTGTTATATTAATAGATTTTATTAGTATATTTTAGAAAATTTTATTAGTATATTTTATTAGTATAATTTATATTTATTATATGTATATTTTTAGCTTTAGTTTAATAATAAAATT